CTGCCGTTAGCAGTCCAGAGGTATATAGTCAAAGCTTTAGATTACCTGGCCCCTCTACCAGAAACAAAAGCCCGTGATTGGCCGGCTCGTGTCGACCAATCAGAGACTGGCTAAAGATTAAAAACTTTAAGCACACTCGCCATAGCGAATCCACTGAGCGAATACAGCATAGATTTGAAAAATATATAGTCGATTTAAATGATTAAAAGCACCCGCGGCTCTAAACTCACTAGGTATTGCACTTTGACTTTATTACACGTGGCTGTCTGTCTTTCGGAACGAGGTCCGTCGGGAGCGGTTTTGCGAACGGTTACTAATAGATGGTTTTAATAACGCACTCCCGATCGCGATGACTTTACAAATTGTACGGTTGTTCGGACTTGGAAAAATTTTACGATCGCGTAGACAGCCACGTGTCCGCACTTAACCTCACTCACGGCGCGCATAAACTAATTACGGCAATCGCCTCTCAACAAAAAACGCGGACACTCACACTCGATAAACAACCGGACCAGCGTGTATCACAGAACCGACAGATATATATATACATGCCTAATTAAAGCTAATATCACAACTCAATACTAATATAACATAAGGGCATGTAACAGAGTAGTTGCGGGAAAATTACCTCCAATCTTCCTATTTTTTCTGAATTTTGCGGCGTAAATCCCAGCGCGGAGTATTTGCCGGAGTTATCCTATTAGTTCAATATATCCTGAATATACAATCAGTTATTGTTAATAAATCGCTACTAGGAGATATACATATTTTCTTTTATTAAAATATATAATTAAAAATTAACATCTCAATTTGATATAGTTATAAAATTTTAATAAAGTCTATAGTACTCGCCTAAGTCTTGTTGCGTCCGGGTCTCGCCGCGCGTCTCCGCCCTTTTCTACCATTTCCATTCAAGAGTAAGTTCCACTCGATATTTACAATGTTCATGGAATTGTTTCATTCTTGTTATTTATCAAATGTTAAACAAAGACAAATGTTGCTCGCTAGCATTGTGAGTATCAAATGAAACACACTTCAAATCATTCTCACACCAACCTTTATTAAATCCAAATAAATCCTACTCCACTACAGCTATTAATGCTATTATTAACATAAAAATCGATCGAACAATTATAGAGACACGTCCATGCTCGTCGGTCACATTTGCGAGATGATCGCCCGGATGCACTGTACCCGTTGCACGCCATCTTGAAATAGCCCTAAGTAAATAGGATACATGGTTTTGTTGAATAGGTGATTTAAATGAGCAATAAACCTAAAACTTTAATTCTGTTGCACGTCGGACGTACACACTTATTTTTGTATTGAAATTCTCATTCTAATATTAAGTTTTATTATATTTGAACTTAATATTATAATTAAATAAATTGAACCTTGTGTTTAGTTTAATCTCTTGTAGTATTCAAAATATTACTACTTCCTGTTATTTTTTATCAATTCTTTTCGATAGGAAAAGAGTCTTGATTCTATTTTTCATTCATTATATTTTTACAAAATATTAATACAATAAATTAGATTTGAGCATATCTTTGTAGATGTAATCATAATTATAAAATATCGGTAAGTATAATGATTGAAATATCATCTGTTAACATTTATTTATATACATATAAACAATTTCAATGCTTTAATCAACTTTAATGATAATTAACCCTTTGTGCCATGATCGTTGAACGACCCACTTTTTTACTTACATGTTTTCACCGTTTTAACTAGTTTTTTAACAGTAGATATCGGATTTTTCTATGTTTCTATGTCTATAGAACATAAATTAATATGAAAAATGCATTATTAACCAGTAATTGTTAATTGTAAAAATAATATAATTCAACAAATATTCGAAATTAGTGATTTATCTCAAAAAAATTCATTTTCCAATAACTTTTTATA